GAGTGAGACAATAACACTGACAAAGCAGCGCATCAATCTCTTTGCGCCAAAGTTCATGCAGCGAAGCAGTGTGCCTGGCAGCCTTAATGGGCACTTTAGACTGTAAGTTTAAAGGCGTTTGTGATCAAGACATTGTCAACAGCAACTCGGAGAAGCATGTGAACAAAACAATGGACGAGGGCTGAAATCCAAGTGCACCGAAAGGGGATCCAAAGAACTGTCTTGGAATGCCCTTTAGTGGAATGTCCTGGGATGCCGTAGATTTTTAAGGTAATGGGATTTGCAGGACTTTTCGTGAAATCCTCGCACACTGTTAATTCATGACATTTGATAGATCCACTCCGAACGTCAAGTGACAACGTGACAGGAATGGAAGCATCTTACCATCATTGCTTCAGACTCAGGAAATGTTCTTTGAACTTCACGCCACCAGGCCTCCAGAGGAGCTGTAGCCTCTTTTGCCCCCAGGAAGCATGAACCACACGGAAGGGGATAAAAAATGCTGACCAGTCATCTAAGCGCTCCCGTGTGCCGCAAGGTACCACCCTAACCCATGTGAGGCTCAAACTCACAACCTTCAGATTATGAGACTGACGCGCTGCCTACAGAGCCAACGAGGCAGACTGCTGAAACTGTGCAAACTGTGAAACACCAGCTTCCATATCACGGTGCTGCGGTGTGGCTCCTAGGAGACAGTTTGGGCCAGGTAAACATGTTAGCCTGGCCGAGCGGTCTAAGTCGCTGTGGTCAGGTCACAGTTTGTTCTGGAGGTGTGGGTTCGATTCCCATTTGTGACAAACGTCATATTTGGCTATGAGTTCAGGATTAAGTCTTTAACTCTCTGGCACCATGTCTGAGTGAGACAATAACAATGACAAAGCAGCGCATCAATTTCTTTGCGCCAAAGTTCATGCAGCGTAGCAGTGTCCCTGGCAGCCTTAATGGGCACTTTAGACTGTAAGTTTCAAGGTGTTTGTGATCAACGCATGTCAACAGTAACTCGGAGAAGCATGTGAACAAAACAATGGACGGGGGCTTTAATGCAAGTGCACCGAAAGGGGATCAAAAGAACTGTCTTGGAATGCCCTGTTGTGGAATGTCCTGCGATGCCGTTGATTTTTAAGGTAATGGTATTTGCAGGACTTTTCATGAATTCCTCACACACTGTTAATTCATGACATTTGATAGATCCACTCCGAACGTCAAGCGACATTGTGACAGGAATGGGAGCATCTTCCCATCATTGCTTCAGACTTAGGAAATGTTCTTTGAACTTCACGCCACCATGCCTCCAGAGGAGCTGTAGCCTCTTTTGCCCCCAGGAAGCATGAACCACACGCAAGGGGATAAAAAATGGCGCCGAGTCATCTGAGCGCTCCTGTGTGCCAAAAGNGTACCACCCTGCACCATGTGAGGTTGGAACTCACGACCTTCAGATTATGAGACTGACGCGCTGCCTACTGCGCCACCGAGGCTGGCTGCTGAAACTGTGAAACACCAGCTTCCATATCACGGTGCTGCGGTGTGGCTCCTAGGAGACAGTTTGGGCCAGGTAAACATGTTAGCCTGGCCGAGCGGTCTAAGTCGCTGTGGTCAGGTCACAGTTTGTTCTGGAGGTGTGGGTTCGATTCCCATTTGTGACAAACGTCATATTTGGCTATGAG